TCTAAAAATACTTATTTCAAGACTGCTTGAAAAATCATATAATTTGTATTGATTTTTAAAGGAACTGGGTCAAATCAGAGCTAACATTAGGGTCCTGAGGGTTCATCTTGATTAAAAAAATGAGGATAGGTTTTTTTTTTTAAGTTTGGTGTTTTGTTTTAAAAGTAAATATCCACCACAACATGCTCATAGTGCCACTGGCCTCTTGATGGCAATGGTGTCAGGTTGAGCATGAATAGATTCTTTTTATTTAAAGAATGCTAAGTGTGATGGTTAATCACCAGAAGAAATTAAATCACCTAGACTGATTTTATTTTTATTTAACAGTATTTACATTCCTAATTTAATCTTTCTTTTTCACTATTTAACCAACTTCAACTATTTCAAATCTCTGTAAGTGGTGTAGAACCAATTTAAGACATACCTTTACTAGAACGCTGAAGCTAACAAGGCTGGGTCTCGACTGCTCAAGGGAATCGAGTTGCTACTGCAAGGGGAGCTGGGGGTTCAAATGGTGGCACTGTTGCCTTGAATCCACAAACTTTAAACTGTGAGCTCTGAATGGTGAAAGAGCACTACGTGATGAAGGAGGTGTTTTTGCTTGGATGAGATCTGATGTCCTGACTACTCCTGGTCCTATGGCACTGTTCAAAAGAGTAGCGGTGTGAGTCTGAATGTCCTGGCTCACCTCTAGTTCAGACCCTCTCAATCTCACGCAGGGTGTCCTGGAGGTTTTTGAAACACCTGCTGGTTCTTATTCTAGCTCAGTTTAATTAGCCTTCATAGAACTAATAAGTTGCCTGATTGGATCGTTTGCAAGTTATTTTCTTTTCTATTCAAAAGTTTGTGAAAACAGATTCTTATTGATTACAGCTATTGCGTATAACAGCAAGGAAACCAGATGACATCCAGTAATCAACACTAATTCAAGATGAATGGGTAAAGGTTCATTCCATACTGAAAGGTAAAGAAAAGAAACGCAATGTTTCGGTTGTGGAGCCTGTTTTTCTGTTTACTTTACACTCCTTTATTCCTCAATTTAACTACTCACAAGTGCTATAAATGAGGTTGTTGGGTACTGCCACTTTATTCTGGGAGAATATTTCTTAGGCTTTGGTGATGGAACTTGATAGAGCCTATTAAAACGAAAAAGCAGAATGTTAAAATGGTAGGTTGCCCCCCACCTGCTCAGAGTAGTCATTGCCATCGATGTCATCGCTGTTGGAGTGTCCTCCAGGGCTCTGCACATCTATGCCATGGCTCTCCAGGATTGCTGCTTCTTCGAAAAAACAGACCTTACCATAACATATCTGAGGAAATCCAGGCACTAGTCTATACTACAAACTGACTACAGGACTCTGGGAAGAGTTGGACCAACAACACTGTTAATTTCGATAGATAATGTACATATCAGACTTATATGCTGACATAAAGCAAGTGAATGAATTTGTAGCTGTGATATATTTCCCTCTTAAATATGGCAAGAATTCCTCTTAACTAATGGGCTCCTAGGCATAAAATGAGTTTAATGACATATTTTCTGTTTGTGTCCAAAAACATTGATGTCTTTTTATGAGCATGAAGGTGACATGATTGGAAGAACACAGAAGGATAACAGACATGTCTTTCCAATGGAGGAATCTATCTACTGGCTTGAGGCTCCATGGCACAGCTGGAGCTATCCGTGTGATTTTTAGCATTGTAAACAAGTTCCCTGTCTGACACATTACCAATATTAGCTCTTCTTTTGATTTCCTTCCGCCGGTTTGCGAACCAGTTATAGACCTTCAGTGATGTGACTCTCTCTAGGTCTGACAGCTTCTTCCCTAAGGACAGAGAAAGACGAAAGTGAGACTGTGACAATGACAGACACAGGAAAAACAGAGACAGTACAGATAAGGAGAATAGTGGACTATGAGCTGACTAGAAGCAGCTGAAAACAAGGAGTTGAACAAAGGGTTACACTGACCTCAGTGGTGAGAATATCCTGATTAATTCTATAACACCTAACATTTATGACCATTTGTGTAGCTGGATATTTTACAGAAACGATCCGAGTAAAGTACCTTGTCCTTGAACTTGAACCCACTTAAACCCAGAACCTTCAGATAACAGATTTTAAGATAACTTGAGAATGAAAGAGTTTACCCTATTGAATTTAGTATAATTAGAAATGGTTATTTTTAGCATTACATTTTGTTTTTCATTTTCGCATTTAGCATACTGCAAAAAATAAATTTCTGTATTTTACTGGGACCATATTCAATAGAAGACATTCATGGGTTCTAACTGGTATGCTACCAGGAGAATAAAGGACGCTCTTGGTAGGATGTGTTTTCCTTTCATTGAAAGTCACAATATTAAAACCAAATGTGCTGGACAGCTATCCACTACACACCACCCTCAGTATAAACTACGAGCCAATACTTTGTGCTGCAGGCCTAATATGATTCCTGTCTGCCAACTTCTTTCTTTCACACCAAAGCTGCCTATTTATAGAACTAGCAAGTAAAATCCCTAGGCGACCCTACTGAGTCAATACATACAGGAAGAGCAATAGAAAACAAATGAGCAGATGTTCCACTCCGGTTTCCATCTCAGGAACTAGTTACTCTTCTCAGCAAGATATTAAAGAATTTCAAAAGGAAAACAATATGGGATATAAGAAGAAACCAGACACTTAATCTATTATTTTTTCTTTTATGTACATTCTCTCCTTACCTAACACTACAGATCCCCGAGATATGCATCAGTTTATTAATGGAATGAGTTTCTTTCTTTTATTGCCAATTGTCTGTTAAATAATTAATGACATTTTTCTGCTTCAAAACATACTATTATATGAGAATGACTATCTATATACTATTTTATATATATGCTTTCTGGATCTTTTGACTTATTTTGTTTAACAATTTCAATTATCACAGTCAAGGAAAATTGTTGCTGTGCCTTTTTTATCATAAATATACATTTTTTTATGTCATGTGTCTCAAATATACTGAAGAAAATTTGCTAAAAATAAATATTTTACAGACAAAATTTCCCTTTAGCAGATGTTGTCCATTTGTTAAGTCTGTTAAAGCAAAGCCTGCTTAACCGAGTGCTTACTACTATAGAAACAATATTGATGTGGCAAATACAATCATTAAATAGAGCACAGTAGTATCAGGCAGCATATATATTGTGTATCAGGCAATGACTGACATGTCAGAGGGCTGACTTTGACATGATGGTTATGTAAATGCTACAGGTATATCAAAATTGCACCATGTGGCACAGTGCTGCTTTAATCACTTTGCTTCGGTTTCAATAACGGCACAATACAGTAACTCCCCCATTTCAGCTTCCCCACTCCATTCTGCAGATATTCAAAGGTCTCACTTATCTTCTAACAGCCTTACCTGGTTTCTGAATGACAGCGTTGCAAGCATTGGCAATCTCTTCACGCTTTGCCTCATCTGGGTACTGATTTTCATTGAAATAGCTAGGAACAGAGAGGCAAAGTCATGAAGTAAATAAAGTGAACTTTATTTGTCATTCCAGCCATATACATATATACAGTGGAACGAAATATCGTTCCTCCTCATCCACGGTGACAGAGAAGTCAATCGGAGAAATCTGTTGATGTTACTGCTTCAAGTTATTTTAACACGTTAAAATAATCGTAAAAGGGACACAGGTCGAGAGAGGCAGTCAAGAGGAAAACCACAGGTGGAAATAGGGAAACAAGGAGAGAGATCAAGTACATGAGAAACAACTTCAACCATGAATATATTTTAAATATATTTTTGTAAGCATAATAATCAGATAACATTCATGGTCTTTGGGACTCATACACTATACAATATGTGGAAAAACATAGGTAGTGGCAGGAACATTTTCCATTTTCTCCCCACATATTCTAAAATAACTGCAAGATTAGGTTCTTTGCCTTTATCTTAACCATCAATCATTTACCCTAACCTTCACTGTTTTCAGAGCCAGTTGTTGAAAATGCTCTGAAAAAGACATTTCATTTAGTCTATTTTAAGAATGTTAACTGATTATCAATGAAATTGTGTATGCTCTGGATAGAAGTCAAGCAAAGCCCCTATTATAAGGAAGAATTAATCCTATTCATTGTCTAATCACATGAAATGCTGTCATTGTGTACTTCTGGTAAACATGAAATTCTGAATTTCTGTACTTTGAAATCCATAATCTGTCATACTTGATTATGTGGTCTGTAGAATGCTTCACTACTTCATTGTCATGACTATTTATATTTCTAGTTAGCATTTAATCCTTATTTGTCAGCAAAAGTAACCTTTAGACAGAGTTTTTCTTTCAAGTAAAATTTTACAAGGGAGCAATGACAGCTGTCACTAGAATTTCTGACATTTTCGCCAAAAATAAACCTTTTATGGTACTGTTTATCTAAAGCACTTTCACAAAATGAATATATAAATTTAAACTCTTAAAAAGAGGTTTCACCTGCGATTCTGAAAATGAATTTAAAAAACGATTGCTCACCCATGTGGTCTATCTACCTAATTCTTTGTGTGAGGAATTAAGCATGAGTTGTAACAATGTAAGGAAGGAATTATAACGATGATGGCACAGGAGTTACAACAGGACACACAGCAAGAAATAAAACGTTTTTAATGGGTGAAAAGAGAAAACAATATAGAAAAAAAACAGGTAAAAGGGAGAATAAAACATAAAACACAGAAAGGGCAAGTATCTGGGAGACCTTTTCTTTGCTTTGGCTGTCTACATGCCAGTCATCAGGTGCTGTTGTTCGTCGCCATAAGAACAGCACAGCATTGCCTTCCACCAGGTCTCAGCAACTCACCTCTCCATCACTGCCAGGCACTCTTTCCTCCAGGTGAAGCGGCTGCCGCGTCGCAGACGGAAGCTGCCCGGCGTGGAGCTGACGGGGGGTGGCGTCTGCCTCCACTCTGAGTCCTCCATCGCTAGAGGGGCTGGGCGCATGTTCAAGGTGGCACCTGCCCAGTGAGAAATGTCAATCAGCCACACATTTAATCACATGCCTTCAAGAGCCTGGGAAGACTCTGAAGAGAAATCACCAGTCTTTAATAATAACTAATAATAATTGCTTACACTTCTATAGTGTTTTTCTGGACACTCGACTCAAAGCACCTTACAGGTAATGGGGACTCCCCTCCACCACCACCAATGTGCAGCATCCACCAGGGTGATGTGATGGCAGCCAGAGAGCACCAGAACGCTCACCCCACACCAGCTATCAGTAGAGAGGAGTACAGAGTAATGAAGCCAAGTCATAGATGGGGATTATTAGGAAGCCATGACTGGTAAAGACCAATGGGAAACTTAGCCAGAATGCCAGGGTGACACCCCATACACTTTCTGAGAAATGCCCTGGGATTTTTAATGAGCACAGAGAGTCAGGACCTCAGTTTTACGTCTCATCCAAAGGACGGTGCCCTTTTACAGTATAGTATCCCCATCACTATACTGGGGCATTAGGACCCACAAAGGACGCAGGGTGAGCTCCCCCTGCTGGCACTACTAACACCTCTTCCAACAGCAAGTTTTTCCCAGGAGGTCTCCCAACCAGGTCCAGGCCAGGCTCACACCTGCTTAGCTTCAGTGGGTAGCCAGTCACAGGGTGATATGGCTACTGGCTTTAAAGCAGTTTTTGTATAACATTTTAAATAGTTTCTTAATCAGAGGTTTTTTGCAACAGAGAAGAAGAAAACTTGGCTTACATGTAGAGTGGTTTTATCACAAGCAAACTGGCAGTCTAAAGCAAAAGTAAAAGTACTCTTGTCTGTCCAGCAGGTGTTTCTTCACATTGATCTATTAAGAAATGCAATCAGCATAACTTCATGATACATATTGAAATGTTGGGCTCTAACAATACTATTCACACACAAGTTAAAAATTGTATTACTGGTAAAAAAAAAAAGATAACCGAATAATATCCCAACATCTAAAAGTGGATTCGTTTTAATATTACATAATCTGAAGTAGTTCAAGTAGGTAGCCGCATCATCATGCATAGGCTGTGAAGGAACAACTAAAGGGTGTCCATCAAAGAAGGCTCCACAGCCGAAACGTTGTGTTTCTTTTCTTCGCTTTTCAGCATTGAATAAATCTTTACTTGGTCCATTACACTATCTTAAGTAAGCATGATTGGGTATATGTCCAAATTCCATGTTCAAAACAACTATATTTATATCAATTCAAAAGTTCTACAATATTTATTGTCAGGCATTAAAAGTTGTCATTAAAAGTAGGAATTTAAATAATTTTTGCTCAGGATTGGGGGCTTCATACTTGGGAGGGATACAATGTCTTATCTTATTTGGGTTTTTCTTATGTTCAGCTGTAACTTAGTCAAGAACTGTAACTCAATCTACAGACATAAAAAGCCCTAAAGCTGCAGCAAATCCTGAACAGGGCCTGCATGGCAGAGGTATAGTGAGCATCACCTGGGGTGGTTTTCTCCAGCTGATACCATCGATAGAAGGCTCTTTTCTTCTGTTCACTGAGGTCAGAGCCCTGCTGCAGCAGCCAGTGGGAGATCCGACTCTGACTGATGCCTGCCAGTTCAAACACAGCAGACCATATGTTTCAACAGCACATTCCCCCACACACAGTCTGCAAGCAGCAATAATAGACACAGCTACGTCTGTTTCAAACTACCATGCAACACTGCAGTTTTAACAACTCGGATTTTGCATTTTTCAGTTTAAAATTCCAAAAATGTACAACAAAAACATTACAAGGGGCTTTTAAAATGTTCTGAAATCCATGTACACAGAAAACAATTTTGCAGATTTGTGTAATGATCCTTCAGCTTAACTATACATGTCCTTCAAGGTAGAAGTTACCCAACTGCAACAGCTGTCTTAGAGCTCTTTAAAACCACTCTTTTAATGGTGGACCTCACAGGCCATCAGCCTAAAACCATGTTCACCGATGTCAGAACCCTCAGGGTTATGATGGATAACTCAATAGCTCAAAACGACTACAGAGAATGGCAGCATGTGCAACCATGTTCTTGTGACTTGGCAAATTGTCAGGCAGCCACAAAACAAGAAAGAATTAATTGTTGTGTGAAATGTATTTTACGTACACAGCCCCCTTTCAGTCCCAGAAGCTGCTGGCATGCTCTCCTGGGGTAGAGAAGGTTTTTACCACACTCCACAACCAGGAGTGGTGAACTCTCATCTAAAGACTTTCTTTGAAATCGTGACAGAACAAAATATTGTTCACTTGTTTAGTGAACTACAAACAAAACGTGTCATTAAAAAACTGAAAGGACCATCCAACTATTACATAATATGCCCTCAGAGGAACGTGTTTAGTTAACTATAAATTTTGAAAAAGGTCTGACTCGACTTTCGTTCTGAGTGGGGCACAAACAAATGCCTGGAAGCCATTACTTGTAGTGAAGGAAGATGTTCCCCTAGGACATCTCAAATGGATCACAGCAAGACTTACCTGTAACCTGGGCAACTACGGCCTGGGAGATCCGCCTGTTGGCCAGGAAGGCCTTGATCTCCTCTTTGATGATACTGCTGTCCCTCCTGCATGAAAAAGACAAGATGAACAGATGCACAATGGCTGGGTCAAAAGCCTTCAAAAGGAACACATTAAGCAGGAGAATTAAACAGGGAGTGCTTTCTTTCGGGGAAAAATGAGATGTTTACATCCTATTGTACTGACAACACATTTTGTGTTTCTGTGGTTAAAAATGTCTATCTCTGCCGCTTGCCTTTTTAGAAAATCCACTTAAATTTCAAGGGAGCCCTTAACCGTGGAATTCTAAGCCTGCCAATCTACCTTATCCCTCCACCCCTTTGGCTCTCACACACAAAATTTCCCTCGGGCCGCCATCGTGGACAGGATGCAGCTGTCAAATTTCTCTAACAAATCTCCCATGGGTTGTTAAAATCCCTTCCTATGTTTCAAATAAAAGCACAAGATTATTTCAAGAAAATAAAGGAAGACATCCATTTTTTTTTTCAAAAACCACTTCAGGCAGAAGGCTGTACAGCTGCTCTCCAGGGAACGTTTTAACTGACTATATTTTTTGGTAGCTGTTTGTGGGTTTCTTTTTCTCACTGCAGTAGATTTCTGGCACAATGGTGTGATGGGTAACTGACATCTGACACTAAGCAACCCTGGGCTAAACATTTTGTTTTGTTTTAGGTCGAAGGTTTAAAGAGATTGTAAACCATTATGCTCAAGCTAGTATACTGACAGAATGCAACATAAAGAATTCAGATTTGTTAGATCCTGAGATATGCAGCCACACACATATCTGTCTTTGAATATGTAAATAAAGTAAATTGAGGAAATACTTTTGTAATAAATTTCAATCAAAATAAGTTTAATCATAATAGGACATGATTACAGTGAAGCCTAGTGTAAATGACAACGCAACATGTATTGGATAGAATACTAGATTATTTATGAAGTATTAAAATATTATACATTATGCAGTGATGTCTTATATCTCAGAGGGTATAATTCGTATGATGGCACTAGGCATCAGCTGCTGCATTACAAGGCACATTCAGATAAAGAAGTGAGAATTATTCCAACAACTATTCAAACTGACCATCCAACACTATTTATGGCAACAATCTTGTTTTTTTAGAAGTGTCCCATTCCAGTACTGACCAGTTCCGACTTCTGAGATCTGATGAGATCACACTGGAAGGTGATAATGCTGTCTAACACCCATTTTTCCATCCCTGGATAAAACCGGCCTTTGAATTGTACTTTTATTGCATTCGCTAGGTTCAACCATAGGACCTTACTTAATAAAGCTAACTGCCAGCCCTACACACTGCTCTTATTATGATTTTGCCTAACGATATTGCATTAAAGTCTTTGTAAGAGGGGACAATGCAGTTCCTGAAACCTCTTGGACCAAGAACAGACTGGTAATGTAAGCCTAACCACACTCGACCTCCCTGCTGCTGTTGATGTCATTTACCTCATGAGTTCCTCCACTTTGTCATCGATGTCCAGATCCTCTTCGGTAGCCTCGAAGCTGTATGACCTCGCCCCTACGCTGTTAACAGTGTAGCGGCTGGGCGACAACTTGCCGTTGGGAGTGGCGGACATGCTCTCCCGGCCGTTCTGATTGGCTGTGGCGGCGCTGGGAGGTGGTGATGTGTCGTAGCTGTTGCTGGGGGAGGGAGAAAGCCCTCGGTACTGGGTCTGGGTGGCAATGGTGGTGGTGGACGAAGAGGCTGCCACGTTGTTACTATTGTTGGTCGAGGTGGTGGTGGTGGTTGTGGTGCCGCTCCCACCTCCCCCACCGTAGGCTGGCCGGCGCCCAAACTTGTCCCCGTGCTCTCGGTCTAACCGGTCCAGGGTGTCCAGGGCATGCAGGATCTCATGCTTGGTCATGCCCGTCCGCCGTAAACGTTGCAGCAGGTCAATCTGCTCAATGGTGAACCGTGGCTCATCAGTGTAGTGTGACATTCTGAGAGAGACATAAAGGGGAAGGTGCTATCACTGTGTTTACTATTATCATAACGCAGAAAGAGGAAGTGAGCCCCACCTCCTCTGGTAAACTGGGAATTCTTATAAATTCAAAACAAGATGATCATCAGACTACTGCAAAAATCAAGGCTATTACATCTGTGCAGTCATTACCTTCCCAAGCATCTAAGAGAATCAAAACGGTTCAAACAGAGCGCACACACATTAATCTAGTTCTGCAAGACACAGCAAGGGTGGAGTACAGTTGATGGGGTATAGTACTATCAAGGGAAACTCTTGTTCACTCCACAGGAGATGTGGAAAAAACAGGAAGAAATGTTTCTTTAATTACTCTGTGAAATGGAATATGACATTATAGCTAAACAGGAACTGATGCTATGACTCACACAAATCAGAGAAATTAGACCTCGATGTGATATGCCGTGATAAATCTTTATCTATGGAACTTTATATATGCATAAGGTAACTGTAACAGTTACAAAAACTGTTTCTCAAAACCAGCCTCTGTATTGCTACAGATGTCTTTCTGTATTTCTGCCCATAATTCACATTGTGAGGCTGCTGAAAACTTCCTTTTTCTCCTTTTCTTTGACTTGGTTGCCCAACACACCTGCCCTAATTTCTCATGGCATGGTAAAGAAATAGCACTCCTAACACACTGCCTGTGTTCTAAAATCCTCTTCACATGGTGATACAAATTGACAAAGTTTTTATTTATATTTTTTTATATAATATGATGCTGGCCACATATCTCCTCAATTCATGAGCTTGATTACTTGATTACCCTCAGCATAAATGAAGAAATACGAAACAAAAAAAATAATGTTCTCATTTCAGCAATTATGTGACTTCATAAGGGAAAAATAAGTGCAAACAGGACAAGGCAAACAAAAGCTGTAAGCATTACACATAGTTCTTAGGGAAGCCCTAATATTTTTTGCACAGGGCTACAAATATATATATTGGTTGCCTTCCAATTTTGGTCCATTAACATTTGCTAAAAAAAATAGATACAATTATTAAGCACCAATAAATTTAATGAGAAAACTGAGAAACAGGGCCTCCAGGTGCCACCTAGTGGATAGATTTGGTCCGTTTAAGGGCATCCTGCAGAGTGCTCAGGGGTTATCAATTGAGAAGATGGTCTGGACTGAGAAAGGCCATCTTTTCTTTGTCACTGCAGATGGAGCAGTCGCTAGCTCTTGGTGTGACTGGATCTGCACAGATATAAAAAGGGATTAAGCTTTCAATTTGTAAAGGATTTTTAGAGGGGAACACTTGAGGGAAAACTACCGAGAAATATTTCTCTGGCAGCCAACCTAGATTTTTTTTGCAGATTACAGAGATGAGTCACAGACAGCAAACGCTGAGAATAGATCAAACTCCGAGCAACCTTCGTCTTAAACAATGGCCCCTGGCAGGCATCAGGCCAAACACTGAAGTGTTTTTTCTTCCTCTGCAGTTGTCACTTAAGAATACATCACACTGGAATTTAGAAGCACCTGTCCAGGCACTTAGGTTTCTAGCAAAGTCTGTTGTGTCTGTAATGGTGACAGAAAATTGATGCAGGCTACAGTCTGGCATGTTTACAATTGATTTCTCTTCTATCTCCAACAACAACTGAAAATGCTGCCTTTATGCTGTTTCTATTAATCAGGGGAAGAAAATGAAACACAGAATGAACTGAAAATTAAAATAGCAGTGAATAATGATGAAACTGTCTTGCTATAAGATTTTAATAGGGCAATGCAGATCAAACTGATCTTTTAAAACAGAAAAGGTCCACTAAAGCAGATACAGTACTGTACAAATGATGGAAATAACATTAATTAAATAAAATTAAGCAAACTTTTGGACCTTTAACATAATAACCCAGCAGATGAAATCCATTGTGTGTTATCAGATTATTACCCATAAGTACACAAATCAGTGCAGCACTGTTTCTTGAAATATTCAATAAGAATCATATTCCTTCTTAAAGATTCTTCACTGTTGATATTTTTATAGACGTTTTGTGGCATCATAAAAGCTAGATGTATCAATAAAAGATTAAAGAGAACACAAAATAAAAAAAATGAAGCAGTCATTTATTTCAACATGAAATCATTGTTTAATCAGTTAAAACCAAACTCAAAATTTTATTTCACTAACAGTGGCTTTTTACAATTATGTTTTTCCCCTAAACTCAATGAAAGTCATATTCCTCATCTGTTAAATAACTAATTTTATTATGTACATTTAAATAATTACATTAGTGTCTAAGCTGTTGTAATATATCCAATATAATCCAACATTCAAGATCCCGAGTTCACAAAAGAAAAATAATTTTAAGAAATGCACATTTACAAAATTCAAATTAGTTAAAAATAAAAGCATGTAACACAATGACAAAAGTAAAAGTAATCAGGGAAGGAGTTACAGGCTTATCTATTGTAATATCATTAGGCAAAGTTATTAACTCTCTGTACGTGAAACATCATCCCACAAGACACCCCATAGACTTGGAACCTCATATCAATAGAACACTAATCTCTCAGTGGTATTTGAAATCATATGAACAGCTGGAATTAATTTATTCATCTTGGGAACACGATTCGTATTCATACTAGGAACTCACTATAAGAAATCCTTACAGTTATAGATGAAAACTTAGACTTTCTGAAGTGTGTTTATTTATAACTAGGACATTAGAATCGATTTAGCTTGTTTTAATTCAGGATGACCAAGTATCTTTACTACGTACCTACATAATCTTGAACAGCACATTCAAGCATGTTACATTTTGGTTCACAGAGCATACAGGCTCCTTTACACACTCCGAAGAGGGATCCCCTCTGACATCACTGTGAGCCTAGAGGCACCTGGGTAGCTGCAGAGGTCATTGTTCAACATGAGGCTGAGATCACCAAGTACTATACCACCACTAAGGGCAAACTGCTCAAGGCCCATAGTGACATGAACCAGGTTTAAATTCATATTGTTCATCAAATAACATCATTCAACCTCCACTTTCAGCAACTACC